CTGTTCCGCCAGTGGTTCTCACGTGTTCCGAGACCTGTTCTACGGTCGGGAGATTATCTCATTGTCGTAACAGTTTCTTTGGAATTGTTATGATTGAAGCTTTCTTCGGTCGAGATGATTTGTTGGAAGAAAAGGAAATTTTGTAATTATTGTAGGTTTACGTAGACTTGATCGTTTAAATGAGCCGTTTATTTTGAAAGTGGCCTAAGTCCGTTTATTTACATTTTTATGGTTATTACGGTCGCCGACCGTGTGCCGCTACAATATCAATATTGTTATTAGCACCTATATGTACGTAAAACTTGACTTTAGATGTAACACAGATGTAACACAACGTGTCAAAGTATGACAAAGGATTAATTTCTCGAAGAATTTACTCATTTCATTTGGAAACGCGACGGTGATTATTGTGTTAGAAACGTGAACGTGTATCCGAGATTTCGGGTTAAAATCGGGTCGGGTAATTTATTCGGGTCCGGGTCGGGTATTTTATTCGGGTCCGGGTCGGGTATTTTACTCGGGTACTGGTTGGGTATTTTATTCGGGTACGGGTCAGGTATTTTACTCGAATCCGGGTCGAGTATTTTATTCGGGTTCGGGTTGGGTATTTTATTCAGGTACGGGTCGGGTATTTTATTCGGGTACAGGTCGGGTATTTTGCTCTGGTCCAGGTCGAAACTTTTTGGTACCCGAAAAATTCGAGTACTCGAATTTGGAATTGAAAATTCGAGAATTTTCGGATACCAGAAATTTTTTAGAAACATAAGTATCCAGGTCGGGACCCAAAACTTTTTGGTATCCGGAAAGTTCGGGTACCAGAATTTGAAATCGAGTCCCGAGAATTTTCGGGTACCAGAAAATTTTTTTAGAAACGTAAGTATCCGGATCGGGACCCAAAACTTTTTGGTATCCGGAAAGTTCGGGTATCAGAATTTGAAATCGAGCCGCGAGAATTTTCGGGTACCAAAATTTTTTAGAAACATAAGCATCGTGCTTTTTCATTCATTGTTTTTCAACTAACTTTAGTTCTCAACCAAGTTAATAAATCGTCTAAGTATGCCTCGCCGATCCCATTTTAGAATTTCGAGTGCCCGAAGGTTTTCGGGGCCCGACATAACTTCCAGTATCCCAAAATTTCGGGTCCCGACCCGATCAATGGCAACCCGGGTACCCGCACACCCCCACTGTGTTATCAAAGTCCGTCCCTTTTCGGCTGCTCCGTTGCTTCGCGCAGCCATGCATCGTGCCACAGAAATTCCTTTGAAGACGCGCGCCCCGCCGTCCTGCCCTCTGTTCAGGATTTTATGAATTTTCGAACGTAATTACAAGCAAAACGTAATTGTCACACGTTTCACAGGAATACCTCTCGTCGATCGGTGGAGCGCTTATGTCGTCCCAACGAAGGGAGTTAAATTGCCGTTTACGTCGGTCGGGCTCCAACGGAATTCAACGGCGGAATTTTAAACAATTCCAATATTGAAATTGTGAAGTATAGTCGATTAAATTGAAAATTGATTACCGGCTGGAATAGTGGCGGTGGTCGCGGGGGTGTGTGTCGCGTCTCGCTCTCCACCCGCGCCCCGCGGTCCGCAAAAGTCAATTCGACCTCGCGGAACAAAGGCTGTTATTAAATTTATTGTTGCACCGCTATGTACACGTGACTGTATGCTGTGTATATACATATATATGTGTATATATGTATATATAATATACCTATATATGTATGTATGTATGTATGTATGTATGTGTCTGTGTGTGTATTATTTATACACGAATCATTATTCCCGCTCGCTCTTCGGCATCGATATGTCCGCGACCGGAGGTGTAACTTTTGTAATTCATCGTTCCGAGCGTAATAAATCGGGTAGAATTACACTCGCAATCTGCGAGAGTCCGCGAAAAACCAGTGGAAAAATCTATCGGTTTAAAAGCTGTCGCTTTTCAAACATTTATACACGGGAGCGTTTATTACGAACGTTATCCTCGTCACCTGGATATCCTGGATAACTCCGCGGCGATATTCTTGGCTTCGGCATCCAATGGACCGATGCGTGCTCCGTCGTCTCTCTCCTCGTCGACATATTTGCGGATTAGGAGCCGCTAATATTAGCTGACTTAACAACCACGTGTCTCACGGGATATTCGGTGTTCGGGTCTTCGGACGAACGTTTAAGAATGCTATTGAAATGCGTCGAATGGGAAGATGCAAGTGTCGTTCACTTGGTGTATGAGTACCGATCAGGATATTTAGTTAGTTAACAAGTAATGAAATATGATGGTCATTGAGAAGAAAGCTTAACCCCTTGACGTACCATTTTCTTCGGAGTTACTGCGATTAGAAACTTTTCGATTGCAATAATTTCTTAGGAGCGGAAGAAAATTGATGCCTATTGTATGCCTAAATTTATTGGAACGCTTAAATGTGGATGACGAGAGATTAAAATTGGAATAAAATTCTAATCTCTCGTCATCCACATTTAAGCGTACAAATAAATTTGGGCACATAATAGGCATCAATTTTCTTCCGCTCCTAAGAAATTATTATATTGTATTATATTATTTATATTATATTATTGAGTTATTATATTATATTGATTATTTTATATTATATTTATACTATTTATATTATATTATTGAGTTATTATATTATATTGATTATTTTATATTATATTTATACTATTTATATTATATTATTGAGTTATTATATTATATTGATTATTTTATATTATATTTATACTATTTATATTATATTATTGAGTTATTATATTATATTGATTATTTTATATTATATTTATACTATTTATATTATATTATTGAGTTATTATATTATATTGATTATTTTATATTATATTTATACTATTTATATTATATTATTGAGTTATTATATTATATTGATTATTTTATATTATATTTATACTATTTATATTATATTATTGAGTTATTATATTATATTGATTATTTTATATTATATTTATACTATTTATATTATATTATTGAGTTATTATATTATATTGATTATTTTATATTATATTTATACTATTTATATTATATTATTGAGTTATTATATTATATTGATTATTTTATATTATATTTATACTATTTATATTATATTATTGAGTTATTATATTATATTGATTATTTTATATTATATTTATACTATTTATATTATATTATTGAGTTATTATATTATATTGATTATTTTATATTATATTTATACTATTTATATTATATTATTGAGTTATTATATTATATTGATTATTTTATATTATATTTATACTATTTATATTATATTATTGAGTTATTATATTATATTGATTATTTTATATTATATTTATACTATTTATATTATATTATTGAGTTATTATATTATATTGATTATTTTATATTATATTTATACTATTTATATTATATTATTGAGTTATTATATTATATTGATTATTTTATATTATATTTATACTATTTATATTATATTATTGAGTTATTATATTATATTGATTATTTTATATTATATTTATACTATTTATATTATATTATTGAGTTATTATATTATATTGATTATTTTATATTATATTTATACTATTTATATTATATTATTGAGTTATTATATTATATTGATTATTTTATATTATATTTATACTATTTATATTATATTATTGAGTTATTATATTATATTGATTATTTTATATTATATTTATACTATTTATATTATATTATTGAGTTATTATATTATATTGATTATTTTATATTATATTTATACTATTTATATTATATTATTGAGTTATTATATTATATTGATTATTTTATATTATATTTATACTATTTATATTATATTATTGAGTTATTATATTATATTGATTATTTTATATTATATTTATACTATTTATATTATATTATTGAGTTATTATATTATATTGATTATTTTATATTATATTTATACTATTTATATTATATTATTGAGTTATTATATTATATTGATTATTTTATATTATATTTATACTATTTATATTATATTATTGAGTTATTATATTATATTGATTATTTTATATTATATTTATACTATTTATATTATATTATTGAGTTATTATATTATATTGATTATTTTATATTATATTTATACTATTTATATTATATTATTGAGTTATTATATTATATTGATTATTTTATATTATATTTATACTATTTATATTATATTATTGAGTTATTATATTATATTGATTATTTTATATTATATTTATACTATTTATATTATATTATTGAGTTATTATATTATATTGATTATTTTATATTATATTTATACTATTTATATTATATTATTGAGTTATTATATTATATTGATTATTTTATATTATATTTATACTATTTATATTATATTATTGAGTTATTATATTATATTGATTATTTTATATTATATTTATACTATTTATATTATATTATTGAGTTATTATATTATATTGATATAATCATATTATAATCATATTATTTATATTATATTATAGTTATTCCGTCCTTTAAAATTCGAATAAAATTCTAAAGGACAGAATAAGTGTAATATAATATAAATAATATGATTATAATATGATTATATCAATATAATATAATAACTCAATGATATAATATAAATAATATAAATATAATATAATATGATAACTCAATGATATAATATGAATATAATATAATTAGTAATATATAATATAATAACTGAATAATATAATATAAGTAATATAAATAAAATATAATATAATATAATATAAATAAAATATAATATAATATAATATGAATAATATAAATATAATATAATATAATCAATAATATAATATAATAACTCAATAACATAATATAAATATAATACAATCAATATAATATAATATAATAACTCAATTAGTTATTATTATAAATTAAGCATTAAGTGCGCAAGATTCGGGTAAAAATACCAGCTCAAATGAATCTTGACATCTCATTTTGTCTCAGCTGTGCTTAAACTTGTACGTTTCGTGTTTCAGGGTGTTCAAGATGCGGCTGACGAGGGACACAAGTTTGTTCGGCGAGGATGTGGTGTTCGAAGGATCAAATGGCCGCGAGATCACGTTCGATCCTCAGCATGCGTACACAGGAACGTTGGACGGTGAGTGTTCGGTCAATTTCATCGAATCTCTAGTGATCTATCACCCGGCGATAATTAAGCGTAGAAGACAATTAATTCGAATAGAACGCGACGCACTCGTAAACTAATTTATTTAACCATTTATCGTGGGACTTTTTTAATGAGCACACGAAGATCTACCAATCGATGAGAAAATATAAGTAAAATTTCATGTTAAAGAGATTAAATGATCTTAAATTTTATTGTTCGAACACAAAATATCTTATCAATTTTGTTAGTGTCTCATTGATAATACTTTAAAGATAAAGAGATTAAACGATCTTAAATTATTGATCGAACACAAAATATCTTATCGGTTTTATTAATGTTTCATTGACAATACTTTGAAGTTAAAAAGATTAAATGATCTTAAATTATTGCTCGAACACAAAATATCTTATCCGTTGTATTAGTGTTTCATTGACAACGCTTTAAAGTTAACCCTTTGCGCTCTAGTGACATTAAAACTAGTTAAATTACATTTAAAATTCATTTTTGCATCATCGAATTAAATTTAAACGACTGTTGAAAGCGTAATTAATAATGTACGAGTCGCAAGATTCGATTATGCCTAAATTGTAATAAATTATACAAAATAAAAATACGGTAGTACAGAAGAACTATTTTAGATTTAGAATTAAAATGGCAACGAGTGCAAAGGGTTAATAACATTTCGCGACATAGAACGTTTTATATCCCGCCGCGTTAATTAAAGTAAAATTTCATGTTAAAGAGATTAAATGATCTTAAATTTTATTGTTCGAACACAAAATATCTTATCAATTTTGTTAGTGTCTCATTGATAATACTTTAAAGTTAAAGAGATTAAATTATTGTTCGAACACAAAATATCTTATCCGTTGTATTAGTGTTTCATTGACAATGCTTTAAAGTTAACCCTTTGCACTCGAGTGCCACTAAAACTAGTTAAATCACGTTACAAAATCATTTGTGCATCATCGAATTAAATATAAACGACTGTTGAAAGCGTAATTAATAATGTACGAGTCGCAAGACTCAACTAAGCCTAATATCAATATGCTTTTTATAGAAAAAATAAATATGGTAGGTCGGAAGAACTATCTTAGATTTAGAATTAAAATGCCAACGAGTGCAAAGGGTTAATAACATTTCGCGACATAGAACGTTTTAGATCTCCGCCGCGTTGAATTCCTCGCTTTTGTCTCGCGGATCGAACACCGCGGCGCGAGCCGTGTCTCGCGTTTGACTTTTTCACCTTATAAACACGGTTACGTTCGCTTCGTTATCCGTGAATGTCCAGAAACGCGGCCCCGCTCCGTGTCAAAGCGGCAGAAAATAATAATTGCGAGGCGCGCGGCAGCCTGCTCTCGCGCGAAATTACATTAATGATGTTTCACAGTGCGCGACGGCAAGGAAAGCCACTTGCTCTAATTCCGGAGCGCGCGCGCGCACGCGAGCCGACTCGCCGATTTTTCTGCGCGAGGAGGCCGTCCTCGTTCGACGATTATCAAAATCGTGTTCGAAATTTCTCGCGAGGTCATGGAGAATCGCGAAGCGTCGCAAACAGACCGTCGCTCTTGATGTCTGCGAAACGGAGCACGTTCGCCGCCGGGTTTTTCGCAACCAAGCGGCGCGATCGTTCAGAGGAAAATGAATGCAGAATTTTTCCGCGAACGGAATTTGCGCGGTTTCCGGAATGATGTTTTTCCATCGGTGTCAATCGAGATGCAATACGCAGTCCAAAATGAAAATTAGAAGCGGCCGGAGTTGACTTAGTTGCTAGAATAATAATAATAGTAATAGTAATAATGGTAGTAGTAGTAGTAATAATAATAGTAATAATAATAATAGTAATAGTAATAATGGTAGTAGTAGTAGTAATAATAATAGTAATAATAATAATAGCAATAATAATAATAGTAATAATAGTAGTAGTAGTAATAATAATAATAGTAATAGGAATAATAGTAATAATAATAATAACAATAATAATAATAGCATTAATAATAATGGTAATAATAATAGTAATGATAATAATAGCAAAAATAATAATAGTAATAATAATAATAATAGCAATAATAATAGTAATAATAATAATAGTAGTAGTAGTAATAATAATAATGGTAATAATAATAATAATAGTAATAATAATAGTAATAGTAATAATAGTAATAATAATTAAAATAATAGCAATAATATTAATCGAATCGATTGATACAATAAAATATACAGTTATTACTAAATATACTAAATATTTTAAAATATACAATTATATATATATATTAAAATATACAATCAAGACCCAAAATTATCGTACAAATGAGAAATGAGATGCTTTTGAGGTCATCTGAAGCAACTTTTTCCTTAGCGAAAACGCAGTCCGCGGCTTCGTTTACGAGTTGTCCTTTCTCCACAAATAAACACTGCAACATAATCTTCTTTTTAGGTTAATCAGCAGTTCTTTTATGCATGTTTGTCGATGTGGAGGGGGTTTGCATTCCGTTGAGCGACTCCCATTGTTGATTACTGTACATCATACGAGATCTTGTGGTTTTCATATACGGGTTAATAACGAAAAACAGTGCCCAATGAGAGATAAATTGAGTAATAAACAAAATAAATTGAGTAGTAAATGAGTAATAAAAATTCTGCATTCATTTTCCTCTGAGATATGAGAGATACGAGATCGGCTTGCGCGAAGCGGCCGAGCCAAAGAGCGGTAGAAGCCCAGATGTTTTAAAAAATTGCAATTTGTTGACACGAGGAAAGAATTTAAAAAACGATGTTTTCCAACTTTTTTTTCTCGGTCGCCGCATAATCAAAATATAGTCACTGCGAGAAGTAAGAATCTCCTGTTTTTGGTTGAAATTCGTGGAAAAACTGCGATTTCCGCGATCCTGAATTGCTCGCAGCTCGTGTCAAGGTCAACTGACTTCGACAAAATTTTCGACGAATTGCACTGAATTCACCGAGCTCTGCAAAATGCATTTTACGCGTGCATTTTATGCATGCACGACTTAGGCTTATATAAAAAGAAAAAATTACGAAAACAGCATTTCATGATTCTTTCATCCTGCAAACAGCAGATCTTGTAAATTTGCAAGATTACTTATCGAACCGGACCCTTGCAGGCAGCGATTAACACTAAACCTACCAAAGCAGTAATACTAACTGGCATGTGCTGCTTCGCAAAAGTGAGAAGACCGAATTTATTTGGAATTTGTGAAGTTTTTATTATAAAATTTGCTCCAATAATATAATTCAATTATAATATTATATATATAATATAATATATTATATTATTATATTATTATTATTATTATATACAATATAATATATTATTATAATTATTATATATAAATAATATATTATATTATATATATATTATATTATATCATATTATAATATTATAAGACCGAATTTATATGGAATTTGTAAAGTTTTTATTATAAAACTTGCTCCAATAATATAATATA